ACTTATAACAAGACGTTTTAGATGAGTTATCTGGATAAAAAGATTTTTTAAATAAGGCTTCTGCTGTTTTTCATAAGCACCTGACTGCATTGCGTAGCCTAGTTTCAGACCTCTGTTTTAAGGAATCCTAAGGGTAAAGGCATAGTAGAGCTGGCAACAACTAACAAGAAGTAAAATGTAGGTAATGCTGCACCCACTGCAACGTAGCTGTGCTAAGAGAGAGGGGGTGAAATCTTCAACAGAGCATGCTTGAGTTTTGCAAGTCTGCATAGAAGTGCAGTGGAAAATAACCTTGTGTCATGTTTTCAGAATGAATTTGTTCCTCCCATCAGAAGAAACAAGCAGCAGTAACTCACAGGTGGATTGGCTGTGAATTAAAATTAATTTACTGTATGTTAAGTGGCAGGAGCTGAAAGTATTCTTGCAGAAAACTTTCTTTCAGAAAGGAAAAAAATTTGTTCTCTGCTCTTGATTCTGCCTTGAAGATTGGCTTCTGTTCAGATACACTGGGACAAAAGCAAAAAATGATTTATTAAGAAATCCTTATCATTATAATTTACCGTCCTCCTGCCAGATCCATCTTAAGGCAAACTGTCGACAGGAGATAATTGTTGCTTCATTAGATTATGCTGACATGGTTATACAACACAGAAATGAGCTTTGTACTTCTATGACTAATGAAAATTTAAGTGCTTTAATCTTGACTTACAGCATTAAACGGCTTAGAAAGCCGCAACATGTGGATTAAATACAGAAGGAATACTTAAACGTATCAAGCATAGGAGTGACAGTCAAATTCAAGACTTGTAAGAGTTAATTGATCCAGAGAGCAATTTCTTTTACGTGAATCAGGAGATTGTGCTAGGAAGTGGTCTTGTGTCCCTGTGCACTGTGATTATGAATGGAGGCCAAGGACGAGCCACTTGGCTCCTGTTCCAGCCCCTGGTTAGCTCCAGGACAAACGCTGCCACCTTTCATTCACTTGCTCCTGGCTCCATGCCCTCCTCCACCATCCGCCTCTGGGCGCTTCAGAAAACAAAACCAAGTACCCCTACACTGCCCTGTGCTGTCCGAAAATGACTGGAAACCAGTTAATCTTCATTTTCCCTCTGTCTTGCTGCAAGGGAGGCTATGGCCATGATGAAACAGTTGTGGGTGTGCTGCTCAGGGTCATCTCGCTTGTTCCTTGCTCTTGGTCTCTGCATGCTTTGTGTGAAAAGGACATTGTCAGCTATTGGAGGCAGAAACTATGAGCAGAGCTGCCAAGCTCTGCAGGAATGCAAATAAGTAACAAAAATAGGAGAGATGCAGGCAGGTGAGCCCCAGGGACTGAGCAGCGGGCTACAGAAAGGCAGAGACTCAGGCAATTAAGCGGAGCTGTAAGGGACCTGGCCAGGCTGAGCCCTGTGGACACTAACATGAGAAATCAGTGCTGAAAATTTACCAGTCTGGCCAGATGCTATCCTGTAATTGTTTTTCGCTCAACTGCAGCTGCTTGCATGTGTGTGAGATGTAGATCAAGGCTATGGTATTAGCCACAGAAACACCCCTGTGGGTTTTGCATGCTGCTTAAAATGGTTGTGCAGCAACCCTTGGGATAGAGGTGAGAGCATGCAGAGACTGAACTATTCACATTGCATTTAACCATTTCTTGTGTGTAAAGTAGAGCTTAGCCTTCCAAGGAGCATCCTGCCCTTGCTACCACTGATACATCTGACCTTGTTCTCTCCACATGGGCATTTTCCTCCATTCCGCGTCTGTGATTCCAGAAGCACAGAGCAGTTTTCTTCTGGTCTCTGAAGTTACTGCTCTGGCTACAGGTGGTTGGACAGTGAAGTGCTGACTTCTGCCATAGACCATGGTTTGCTCTGGGGCTGGGTGATTAAGAATCTTCCATCCGTTCTGTTTAAGCTGCAGGAACCGCTGAGACGAGCTCTGCAGCATGTGACCATCCCTTCTGTAGTCACTGGGAAGCAGCAAAGTTCCTCCTCATCCTTTACTCGAACCTCCCTTTCTGGGCAGCCTCCATGGGGAGGGAGAGTCAGGAGGATACCTTTGAACCCTGCACAGCTCCGCCGCTGCACTTTGGAGCTTTGAGCTGGTTACAGGATGAGGTGTCCATGCCTCTCTGCTCGCTGATAGTCAGTGTCAAGGAGTGCCATTTCTGTTGTGGGTGTGCTGAACTGGCTTAATTGGATAATCGTTATCAGCTTTCCCTAACAAGTAGGAACCAGGGATTACTGAAATTACGAATGACGTAAAATATTAGTGATAGTTAGAAGAGGTGTGTTCTCAGAAGCTCTGTGTCTGCACTCAAATTGAGTAGATAGGAGGTTCAGTGGTGAAAACTTTTTTTTTTTTTTTTTCCCTTTATTACCGTAGGCCAACATGTGATTCAGAAGTTAGCTACCTGGAGGGGATGGGGGCAAAGAGGTGAAAATCTGGGCTGTGGCCATGGTCACAGTTAAATTTTCTCCAGATCTTTTTGACTGAGAAAGTGGCTGTGGTTTATCCAATTGTGGGCTGCATTCAATATTTCTTTCGGAATTTTCTGTACTCTAAAAAAAAAAAAAAAGGTCTGAATTCAGTAACATACTGATGACTACACTTGACAGGAGTTCTGTAGCCTTTTGGTGGTAGCTGAGTTTTGGGTAGTGGCTTCTCAACCAGGGCAATACATCTCGTGAAACAGTAGCTTCCAGGGGTCATTCAGCACTCTATTTTTGGTTAAAAGAGGTGGATGTAACTTCTCAGTCCTGCCGTGACTCAGCCGGAAGCTAGTTTGTAGTTAAACGCAGAACCTTCAGGTTTGTTAGTGATGGGGTGGTGAACGTCAAAAGCTTCCTTGGCAGCAGCAGCTACAGTGGCATTTCAGGCCTGGTTTTGTAATTCAGTGCTGGTGATTTTTAACTAACAAAGGGCTTGTGATCATTAGAGAAAATGGCAACTGGAACATATTAATAATGTACAGTCAGAAAAATACATTGTTTAGTCATGCTGGTTATGCTGAACAGGAAACTAGTGATGAATTGAGGAGAGGAACTGCTGGTGTTTAGTCTGAAACGGCTGCTGGGCTCAGCAGGATGAAAGCACAGCTTACCCAGGTCTGTCCAAGATAAAGCAATACTTTACACTTAATGTAGTTAGGCCAATCAGACAGGAAACACTGCACAAAATCTGTCGCTGGTTCTTAAATGTAAACAGTGATGAAATCCCTTCAAAGAGAATGGGTATCATTCACTAGCGGATTTTGCTGCCCTCAAAACTAGTGGCATTTAGTTCATTCATGCCAATGTTGATCTATCATTATTAGAAAAATACTGGATTAATGACTTCTGTGAAATGTCTGGCATTTACAGACATTAATTTCACACAGTTGGAATATGTTTTTGCATTTTGTGTGTATTCTATGCTTACTAGCAAGGACTCAGCTTTTCTTAGGAATTATTATTTTTAATTTGGCTGAATTTCTTTAAACAAACAATCAAGGGAATCTAATGTACTGCAGAATGGGCTGTTCTAGCTGCATAGAAGATGGGAACAAGTCTTAACAATTGTTCTTGGTAATCTCTTAGTACAGAAAACAAGAAGACTTTTCTGTTTTATCAGCCAGTAGAAAGTCTGGTATAAGATGAAATCTAGGAATGAACCAGTGCCACAAATAAAAAGCACAACTTTTTCAGCTCACTTATAGATGGTGATAATACCTTTGCTTGCTATCATCCTCAAGATGCCAGGCTGAATAAAGGGCTTTACAGTGCAGGACAAATAAATCAGGTGTAATACGTGATTTGGAAGGCTGTATTCATTTTCTGGATGAATTGGTTGTCTTTATGCAAAAACTGCTTTGTGTAATTCTTCCTGTTCTTCTGAGTAAAAGTTGAAAGAAAACAGTAGAAAGCAAATGTAGATACCTATGCATTGCCTTGATGTTTAACTATGTACCTTGTAGGAAGGAGATTAGCTTTTATCTCACTGTGATTTTTAGCAGAGTTTGCATGAAAGCACTACAACCTCTAGCATACTAGGCATTTTGATTAAAGCTCTAACCTTTGTACAAAGATGCATCATGTGTACAGGGACTCTAATATGACCTTTTCATTTCCTAATGAAGCCCTTCACTGCTTAGGTAAAGATTGGTCCTCAGAGAAAACTATCAATAAGAGAGACAATCAGATGAGCAAAACATCTCCTCTGAGCTTTTTAATTCCAGCCAGAAGTGCAATAAATAAATTCAAGTGGTTTATTAAGATCAGGAGCTGAGACTTTCACTTCTGCATTGCTAGAAACTTTCTTTCCTGTGTAAGTTCTACAGCAGCCGATCACCTCTTTAGAAGAGCCCAGTGTTACCCACACACTGGCAGTGGATACTTACATCCGTTCATTAGTGGCTGACCCCAGAGTCTCTTCATTGCAGAAGAAGCTTATTGAAATTGCTGGATGATTTTTCTACATCGTCCTAATGTGGACATGTAAGGAGATGTTCTATGAGACTGATTTTTCCAGATAAGAAAATAAACAGGACAAATCAAGAGGAAAAGGACAAACATTTATGAATGACTAAATAAAGCTAAATAAAAAATTGTTAAGTGGATGCAAACATTTGTACGTATTTGAAATGTGGAAGTATAACAATATGTAGAGATGCTCAAATGTTTGCAAGCTCTGTACACCTAACAGTAATGTGTGAAAACAAACAACAGGGAAGGAATACATAGAGTAAAATTAACAACAAGGTTATTATCATATGTATATTCATATATATCCATATAATGTAGGATAGTTACAGTTTTAAATAAAATGCTGCAAAGTGCTACAGCAACTTAGCATTAGTACATTAATTAGTACAATTAGTAAAGGAAGTACAAATAGGAAAGGTGGATGAAAGAGCTGTCTTCCCCCAGTTATTAGTAGTCATAACTGTTCGTACGTGTGTTTCATTTGGTGTTAGACTTATCTTTTGTTAATCTTCTGTCTTTTCTTTCTGTTTCTCTTTCTAGGCCTCTTCCTTATCTTAGGCTTGATACTTTACCCTGCAGGTTGGGGATGCCAGAAAGCAATAAGCTATTGTGGACATTACGCTTCTGCTTACAAACTAGGAGACTGCTCCTTGGGCTGGGCTTTCTACACTGCTATTGGTGGCACTGTTCTGACGTTCGTCTGTGCGGTCTTCTCGGCACAAGCTGAAATTGCTACATCCAGTGACAAAGTGCAAGAAGAAATAGAAGAAGGAAAAAACCTTATCTGCCTCCTTTAACTCCAGTGGAGAAAACACCAGTGCCTGGTTATTAATTTTCAGTATAATTGACTGGATAAGGAGATCTACTTTCCAGTTTCCACCGTTTGTGTGATTGAGCCCCATGCAGTCCAGCCCTGAACTACTGAAATGATCTTTCTTCTTTGCTGGGCAATGAGGATCAAATAAAGGATTCTAAGAAAGCAGAATGTAAATACTTGCGAATTTTTTAGTTTCATTATGTTATCAGGACATTGTGGAATATACTAATCAGATTGGGGATGTGAGGAATCATGTATACATTGGGGATATTGTTAAGACTGACAAATTCTGATAGATTGGATTGCCTTGCCCGCCTTGGTCACTTTGAAGAATCTGGATTTAAAATAATGAAAGCCAGCACATTTTTTCATATACAGAGGAGAAGCCTATTTTAATTGGGCTTTGTTTCCAAGGGCTCCCCTCATCTGTGACTATTTCACCACCACCTGGTTTGGTACCATATTTTTCATTGAGGTGCTTTTTGATATTGAACTTCCTGAAAGTACAGTGCCTTCTCGGAAGTGTTGAGATGACGGAGAGAGCAAAGCTGACATGACAGTTTACACTAATCTTTAAGCAGTTAAAGTTGAATCCCTTTCTTCAGCTTGAAACTAACAACACAATATGCATGCCCCTTGTTGTTTAGCAGGTAAATTATTTTGGTTTAGACTATGCACAGAAGCTGTTGTTACACTGGCTTTCACTTGACTCTGATAAAAGTGTTAGAAATACCATTTTACCGTATGTTCAGTAAAGTATTTTTACAGCTACTCTGCTTTTATTTGAAATCCCTGAAATCCCAAGCAGATGATAATTCCCCACAGCACAGCTTAGCATTATCTTGTGAATGCCAACAGCTGGGATGGGGCTTAAGACTCTTCTACAAACGTAGATCAAATGTTGGACTTCAATGGTATTATTCTTGCTCTTGCCAGTGAAACTTCATTCCTAGTCTACAGATCAGTATGTCTCATGTCCCAGAGCCAACTGAGTCTTTAAGAAATCTAAATTTTTCAGGAAGTCATGCCAAATTCTAAATGGCTGGGAAGATCTTTTCCCATTTTTTAAACCACATGTAGTATGGAGCCTTTTCCAACTAAATCAGCAGAAATAAAACAGACCTTGCCACAAATGACATTCCTTTCTCAAAGGCAGTTGGTTGCATTACTTGTGGTGTCCCATCACTTACTAGAACTACTTATAAAAACAAATCTTAAAGGTATTTTAAAAAAAAGGAATGATGCAACTGTGGCATATGAGCATTGGGAAGAATTCATGTGAGAAGTAATTCTCATGAAATTTAAGTGAATTTTAGATTCTTCATCTTACTTAGTGGATCTTACTTTGTTTCACATCATCCAGTAATAGCGATGCTCTCTATCACTTCACTGTAGAATGTGAGCAGAGATTCAGGTTTATCGCCGGGTCAGTCTATCAAAGTGTGCCATTAGCTATTTATAGATATTAAAAATTGTTACTCTGCAGGTAGAAGACTAATTTCCATACACTGCTCCTCCCCGGTGACGCGAAATACAAGTCTCTTTCAGCAGCCACTACAGCAAGCACAGGGCTAGCCATGAGCTAACAAGCGAGCACGAGCAGTCCCGGTGTTGGAGCACCCCTTCAGTGCCTGCTGTGCCCCCCAGATGCTGCCTAGGCCTGGCTGACCTGTGCAGCAAAGCAGGCTCAGCTCCTCAGTGCCCAGCCAGGGCACATCAGTGCCCACTGTGTGTTCAAGCCACATGCCAGATGGATGCAGAGGTGACTGCTGAGCCACTGGTCAAAAACCAGGATTAACTTCTGGCAATATTAAAAAGGGATTGTTTTAATCTAGCCTCCTCTTGCATGCACCTGTTGCTGCAGCCCACTTCCACCATAGTCTAGATTTTAAAACGGGTAATTTTATTCTTAATATTTAATTTTAAAAACATAACACCACCAACAAAACAACAAAGTTATTGTCTGTAACTATTCATGCCAACTAGCTGCACAAAGCAAGATTTAGTTTAACAGATCAAAACTACTAGTGAAAACTGGTGTCCGAGGACAAAAAAAAAAAAAAAAAAAAAAAAAAAACCCACAGCCATATTGTCCTGTCCACACTTGTGCTTTTCATGTTTTTTTCCTAGACACACAAACGTACCCTGTGAAGGACATGCATGTTACTTGTACTTGAAGCCTAGCACAGCTGCTGGCTGGTACAACACAGCATTCTGGTGTTCCTCTTGAGCCCTCTACTGGAGTGCACACTACTGCGGCTGGGGCATTAGCTCAGTTGTGCTTTTGTGGACAGTGTAATGGGAAAAGAGGGGCTAGTAAGAATAAGAGTAGCCTGTAAGTTGGTGAAAAATGAATTACAAATTAGATTTATGGTTTTAGCCTGTCTTAGGTGGGTAGCAATCCAATGTCAATGTTGCCACTGCCAAGTCTTGAAACTGTATTATTGAGGAAAATGCTGCTTTGGCTTCAACACTTGATTATCCAGAATAAGGTCAGTTTTTCCAAAAGGTATGAAGGGCATATACTGCTTTGCTTTAGATGTAAATCATGAACAACCTTACTATACATTACTAGCCAAGCTCTGCTATGATCTACAGCAGGCTTAAAATTTTTAATATTGGGGTTTTAAAACACAAAGGAATTATTTTCAGTGGCATGTTTTGCTTTTGTTTGCATTTGTAACCAAGAAAAAACAGCTTTTCTGCTTGTTTCTGGTATGCTATCACCCTGGTGTGCAGCAGCATGATCAACTAACTTGCACGGATATCTATGTTTATTACATAGCACAGATAGAAGACAGGCTGGGAAGAAATACAGGAAAAAAAATAGAATTTCTTTTCTCAGGGTTCTGTTTTTCTAGCAAGTGATAAGGTGGGATATATTGCAGCTTTTCTCTGGATGAGTTTATCAGATGTAGGGTGCACTCACTAAATTTGACAGCTGTTTAAAGTTGTTCCCGAATGTCACCTCAGCAGCAGCTTTCAAAGATGTTTCCCCCAACCAGCCCCATCACCACCCAAAAAAAAAAAAAAGGATAATTCAGCTTAAAGCTAAATAAATTTCATGAGGGGGACTGCGGAGTGTAACTGCTTGTTAAAGTATATGCACTGCATAGGATCTAGAAGACTTTGCTGTGGATTCTTTAAAACCTGTGTGCCAATTTCTTCAGTTTAATTTTTTTTGTGGTATTGAAGAATTCTTCAAACATCTGTGGTTTGATCAACTTTTTAAACTTATATTCTGTAAAGTGCCATACTTTTTTTTTAATTGTAGCATATTTAAATATATATATATATATACACAAATTTGTGTGAGATGTGCAATAACAGGAATGTCTTTTTTCATAGTTTTTGCTTTTAAACAAGATATTTGGAAAGGGACTTTCCCAGGGAAGAAGTGGCTGAAGTTTTGATGGTGTGGATAAACTAAGCATAGATTAATGCAATAGAATTACAGAGTTTGAGGATGAATACAACAGTAACAGTAGCTTAAAGATTTAAGAAAAAAAATCTCTTCTAGAGGGATCTAAAATAGATCTATGTAATACAGACAACTGAAATGTGAAACTGCAGCCATCTCTGGCAAAATACAATCTAAAAGCTGAAAACGCTCAGCAAGGTTTCTTCATGTGCTTTATTTATGCACTGCAAAAAACATTGCTACTGAGCTATTTCCTGTTTGTCTATATCACCTTTGTATCTATTTTACTCAATAAAGTTCTCTGGAGTCTAAGTTTTTTTTCATCCTGATCATTTCAATTTTGCATTGTTATCCCCCATCAGAGTGTCTCACTTGCCACTCATGGTCATAAATGAAGAGGAGTTAGTCTTCCTTGAAAGCTGTGGGCACTGGTGCCTGCAATAAGGGAAGGACAGATCCCAACAAAAGCAGATCATGGCAGCAACATACACACCACAGCCACTCTCTACAGGAAGAGATGCTGTGCCAATCCAGCTAGATGAGATTTTGAGCCATGGTTTATTTGTGGTACTGTTTTTTCTGGTTTTGAGTCATCACTATGTACATTTGTTAGCACGAATGATGTACCTAATGTGTTACTTTTTAATCTGAAATTCAATTAAAATGTGAGTTTTTCAAACTGTAACAAGAGTCTATCTTAATTCAAACATATTAAGTATGTTTAACCAGAGCAAGTTTTCTTTAATTGTAGCTTTAATAGCATTTAAGAGCCCAGCCCAGTGATTTTGTTAGTGTTTTAGGTTTCTAACTGACTTTAACCATTATTACCACCTACTGATCAAAAAATATGTGATTTGAAACTGTAGCTATGCATTATACAATACAGTTGCATTAAAGAGACTTTCTAATTAAATACGTCTGACGTTTTTCATTTTGCTACTAAGCACTTGTAGCTCCTTTCTCATGAAAAGAGGGGTAGAGAAAGTTATAAAACAAAAACTGCTTAATCACAGACCTTTAAATAGCATTTGATACGATGCATATTACTTTTCATCTGCAACTTGACAAACCCTAAAGAGAGGTTATATATTGCTCTCTAAGCAAATTTATGGCAGAACCAGGGGCATGGCTTTTGGTAGTTCAATGAAAAGTTGGGAAGTCTGTTTTCTTTGAAAGTTGTTAAGGCCAACTTGTATTGAATCTACATTGACATCAATTAGATTGAATTGAGCTTCTGACATTTTATGAACTTCCAAAAAGTAGTTCTTGATGAAAACTTGAAACATTTTCCTTATTTTTTAGAAACCAGAAAAAAAAAGAGGATAGGTGACACTCAGTGAATCCAGAAAAAAAGAGGATAGGTGCTACTCAGTGAATCACTACTTCAGACGCCCTTATGGATTTCAAAGCAGGTGTATATATATACATGTACATACACAATGCATTCTACAAAACAAAACAAACAAACAAACAAACAACCTGCAGAAAGAAATTTCAGTCCGCACTTTTTGTATAGCAAAAATCTTTTTTTTTTTTTCCAAAGTGATTAATTAATGTAAAGGGAAATGGGGAGTTCAATTCTTAAAATGTGTGAATTCCTATAGATTGCTGTGTTCTGGTAAATTGTTTCCTCAGTTCCAGATAGGATTAGAACGGTGATGCATTAAGAAAGTGAATATATATTATTAACCCAGAGTCAGTTGTATAAAGACATTGTCCTGCTCCTATGATTCATTAAAAACTTGTTTTCAAAGTCTTTTTCTTTGATTTACAGTATCCACAAAGAAGTGAAATTCTGAGAGAGCAGCAATCAGTGCACCCTAACCAGCTTGAAGTACCACTCTGCTGCAGTAAGATCGGTAGTTAATTTGTTCTGAGAAAAGTTAGTAAGAAAAGTTCAATTGCATTATTCCAACTTCTCTCAATTGATCCAACTACTTCTGTTTGGTTGCTTACCTTGGACAAAAAATATCACCTCACTACCCAAAACAGGATATATACTTTTTCTCTTGAGCATCAAAAATGCATGCACAGAAAAGCCAACAGCCCTGTACTGCAACATGGCAACATGTGCTTTGGCATGTGTGCGATGACTACAGCTCAGACAATGCATGACTGGTCAGACACAGCTCTTTTTAAAAAAACAAAATGGACTGAGCTTTAGCCAGCATATTCTACCCAATTTTAAATGGACACAGTTGTAAAACAGAAAAACTGAGTGAATGGTCACACGCAACTGGACTCTAAACCAGGCTGTACATTAGCTCTGTTCCAGGCACAATGCCAATTAATAACTCAACCTCCAACTTCAACATCAAAATCAGTCTCTGAAATTTCTCACCTTGCCAGCTGAAGGTTTCCTTCCTGAAACATGGGATACAAATGAGTAAAACCTGGTCTTCTCGATGCTTTCTACAGCAACTGCTTGTGCTGAAGTGTTGTCCTTGTATGACTACCTAGTCATCCAATAAAAGTAACTTTTTGGATGAGCTGTATATGCTTTCATTAAATAGCTAGACAATTAATTTCTTTTTTTTTTTTTCCGTACAACCCAATGTACAGTAGCATGATCCATAAGTCATACCTCCCAGCAACACTTCTTTTTTTCCTCACTTGTGTGAGACATGGTATCTAGTTTAAGCCTAGCATGAAGTTAAACTAGTATTCTGCTGCTGAGATAAGATATCTGAACTATTTCTTAATTTTTTACACTGATGAGAATAAAAGCTCTTTGTAGGCATAAAATTAATTTGTATGGAAAAATACAAACTAAGTAGTACATTTTGAATGTAATTGAGTGAAACCTAACACTTATTTTTCTGATTATGTGATCCACTGTGCCTTCTTCATAATTTATAACTAGAATGGTCTAGATGCATGACTTTTTTGTGTGTGTGACAGAAGTATCTTTCCATAAGTATCACTGAGTTATTTCTAAACACATTTCTCTGCTCTGTGCTGTTTGCTGTGTGTGCTTGCTTTCCCAACGTAGAGCTTACAACCTCCTGAGGTAAACTAGCCTTAGCTATCATCTCCCCACAACAGCACTTAAACTGTTTAATACTTCTGATTATAAAACATGACTATTACATGGTGCAATTATGCATGCCATTTACAAGAAAATTCAAAAATTGTTCGTTTAGTCTGCCACTCTCACCCTAGATCTGTAAATTACAAAGAAACAGATTAAGTTAATGAAGAACTTCACTACTACATGATATGTAGTACAGCACAGTGATCTAAATTATTTCATTTTGTCCTTCAAGGAAAACTGGGAAATAAATTCAGTACTATAGAGTGAGTGTTACAGCTAATATCATGTGAAAAAAATAGTGTCTCAGGAAGAAAGGAAAAAAAAAAAACAACAAGACAGCAGTGACACAGAAGTGTCAATTCAGTAGAAATTAGGAAAACAGACAGTACCAAACCAATGCTGTTTTCAGCAACTTCATTTTACTTTCAACAATGTTTTAGGATTCACTTAATAGCTGCAGAATTTCATTCAGTAATGACAAAACATGTTTAAATTTTAACTCTCTAACTTTACAGCACAAGTAAGCAGGCTGCAAGTATTTAAATATTCTTCATAATATCTGAGTAAGCTAATTCTGATTATCCTACTGTATAATTTTGATAGTGGACATTTTACTTTCCTGTTTAAGCAGAATTACAGCATTTATATACAGACTTACAAAAAACAAGTGAGATTTTTACATAGATCAGTCGCCCTGTGTGTCATCCTGAACTTCACATTAAAAAAAACACTATTTCGTTCAAAGCTATACAGAGCAAAAATCCAGGAAAAAAAGTATTTTTTTTTTTATTCTATGACACTGTGTTAATACAATAAATATACAAAACTTCCGAAGTATTCAGACATGCAACAGAGGGACAGAAGAAGTGTGTTTGTACAGAACCATGACATTCACCAGGATGGCAGAGCATTGTTAGTAATTTACAAAATATACAAACATCCCCAGATAAATAAAACCAACTCCTAAATTACATATCAATGACTACTGACATTCCAGTGTTTAAACTTCATACTTTGTACTCAATTTGCCACAATACTACAAAATGACAACTGAAGTGGATGCCATACTCTAATAGTTAATAAGAGACTGTAAAATCTCATTTTAGTTAAGTAAAAAATATTTTAACAAACATCAGCCGTCTGTTGCCAAAGCTACACTCAAACTTTTCTGTCCCTTTTGGGCTGCAAAGTGTCAGAGACTTCTGGTTTAACAAATCATGTGTACGTGAATCCTGAATTTCACATATGAGGTTCAAATCTGTATTACTTAACCCATGACATTAGAAATCAGCGTTCAGTATACTTTGAAAATTAAATCTGTTTTCTGAAAGAATGTTTAAATATTTGGGAAAAAAAAATCTACCTGCCAAATTCAGGTTTTATTCTGAAAGTTGTTTTTTTTTTGTTTTTTTCCTCCATAATATATTATGCTAATGTATGCTGTTATGCAATCTTAAGCTTGAATTTAATTGCAAGGATGTTGTCCCTGGGATTCATACTCAGGAGCTATCCAAGAGAACTGTTTAAATTAAATTCAAAAGTAATCCATATTACAGTTCCTAGATAAAACACTCAAATTTAAAAGATTTTGAAAAGAACAATCATGTACTGCTAGAAGTGTGGTACCTGTTCTCAAGAGAAAATGAATTATTTTGTCTAGAAAGCTTTTAATAACATTCCACGCAAATTTAAGTTCAATGCTAGAGTGTCTAGTAGTGTAAAATTTTAGAGCCCCTGTACAGTAAAAACTAACCAAACTGCTTTTAAGTTTGCAGAGAATATTTAGAAGAAAGCATATTTGTTAAAATGATCTTCAGCATAGGTGAAACTGCTACATTTATCCAAATTCAAGTTGGATTTAAATAAGTTAATAAAAGAAAGGAGGCTAATGCAGACTAATGGTAATACTGATCAAGGGATTGAGATAAGTTTGTGGTTTTTTTTTAATGTTATTATTGTTATTATAAATACGCTGTAATGAAAAAGACTTAATCTATGAAGGTCAGTCCACATTCAGAACATAGAGGGGCTTAGGAAGCTTATGACTGATTCTCACTAATTGTGATTCTTAAGAGCTGAATTAATTTCAGCTACAGTGACATTTCACTAGTTTGTATGACTTGGTCCATCCTGTTTTCACTTTCTAAAAAAAAGTTAAAGAACAGCCCAAATACTATGCATAAGACTCATAAGTCAATCAAGGAATATCAGATAACCTTTGAAGGACAGAAACATTTATAATAAGACCTGATTGAACTCTAGAACATTGTGATGGTACGTAGCATGACTGACTGTTCAGTTCTACTGCATCAATTTAACCTCTTAGGCCTTCAGTTCAATGGGTTAACATTTGACTTTGTGAAAGATGTATATTTCTCACTTTTCCAACTCAAAATAGTTAGGAAGCTTTTATTTTCAGCTTAAATCAAATCACAGAGATGGCTGAGTTATGTTAAAATGAATTCAAGTATCTGTTAGATGCCATTGCTTCAAAAGCTTGATTTTAGACAATATTCCTGTTAGAAAATTAAATACTGTATATTTGGACTTTTGGACAAGCAGTAAACAGAGTGACTGACAAGGCTAGAGATTTAGTACCACTTGCAAACACAAATCTACTTTAAAAAAAAACAACCTTAAGCACAACAAAA